GTCTCCAGTGAGGAAATAGTCAAGATGTTACTCTCAGGGATCCAATTACTTCCGGTCACGTGCAATGTAACGAGGTTTGGAAGCTGACTGATGACGTTACCTTCCCATATTTGCAGTGGGTTGAAACTTAGGTCTCTGTGGAAAGGAAAAACAAGTTTAAAATTTAGAAAATATCGTTGGACTCACGTTCGTTGATAAAAACTAAATAAAGATATAATTGGAGTTTGAAGAGTGCGCAGAGCTCTACATGCCATATAATTTGTATTGTATTTTAAGCAATAGCCAATTCGATCGCGACAAAGCCGCGCATTCTCGCGAAACTTGATTTTTAATTGGCTCTTGGCTAACATTAACCCCCTTTTAGGCGAATAATTTCTTTAGTTCGAGTCTTCTTGTACGCACTTAGATACACAACGCTGCCTAACATTTTTGAGGGACGTTTCCGGGGAGAAGTTCGTTGTTTATTATTCATATCATTAGGGCCAAGCCAAGGCAAACCTTAAAAAGTGTGTTAAAATTAACGTATCTGTCATTGATATTTCGTATTTAGTATGCCTGTAAATATACAATGCAGTAAAAGGGAATACAGTTACTGTTTTTTACTCACAATATTTTAAGCTTTGCGAGTGTCCCGAAATGGCCGTTTCCAATGCTGGAGATATTGTTGTGAGCTAAAGAACTGAAAAAAGTGGTTAGCATGTTTTTACAATTCCACCTCCTGTTGCCTAGCCCACACATGTCCAATACACAAACGGATACGATTCGTCAAACTGGTGGTCCATTGGTACCAATGGTACGATTGGTACCAATAGAAAAGCACCCTATTCCAATGGTTCTGTTGGTGCATATGCATCTAATTAAGGGGACTTAGATTATTTTCCCATGTGACCTGGTTGGGTATAGGGCAATTCCAATGGTTCATTGGTACCAATGGTACGATTGGTACCAATAGAAAAGCACCCTATTCCAATGGTTCTATTGGTGAATATGCATCTCATTAAGGGGACTTAGATTATTTTCCCATGTGACCTATCTGGGTATAGGGCAATTCCGATGGTCCATTGGTACCAATGGTGCGATTGGTACCAATGGAAAATGGTGCCATTCCAATGGTTCTATTGGTGCAAAACAAGTTCACCTTTACACCAAGTGAAAACGCGCTAATAATTATTATGAACGTTCCTCGTTCTATAGGAAAACCACGCAAAACAAGTTCGCTTTTACATCAAGTAAAAGCGCGCTATAATTCTTATGAATATTCCTCGTTCTATATCCCAATCACGCAAAACAAGTTCCCTTTTACACCAAGTAAAAGCGCGCTATGATTCTTATGAATATTCCTCGTTCTATAAGCCAACCATGCAAAACAAGTTCGCTTTTACACCAAGTAAAAGCGTGCTATAATTCTTATGAATATTCCTCGTTCTATAAGTCAACCACGCAAAACAAGTTCGCTTTTACACCAAGTAAAAACGCACTAATAATTATTATGAATATTCCTCGTTCTATAAGCCAACCACACAAAACAAGTTGCCTTTTACACTAAGTAAAAACGCGCTAATAATTATTATGAATATTCCTCGTTCTATAAGCCAACCACGCAAAACAAGTTCGCTATTACACCAATTAAAAACGCGCCATAATTCTTATGAATATTCCTCGTTCTATAGGCTAACCACGCAAAACAAGTTCGCTTTCACACAAAGTAGAAACGCGCTAATACTTACAAAGCGAGGGCGACGTATATATCTAGCGCTAATAATATCTCAAGGTGCTGTGAGTATAACAAACATCGTACGAACATTAAAATTGAAAGGTAACGCGTCACTGTCGGGTTCGTTCTGTCTATTGTGATTCACGAGCAAACAACATGACATATGAATGTCTTCTTTCCTGTACGCAAGCACTATTTTTTGGTAATTCTTACTTGTTAAAAGAACCCGAAACAACGCGGAAAGGCGCGAAACTAGCAAAGTGGTATTGAGGCAACAGGTTTTAACAACTGTACTCAACTCACTGTGAAATTAACTTCTGAAATTTCTTAGCGCAATTTCATTATCTACATGGAAGCGTTTAAACCAAAACAAGTTTTCAATGAAGAGTTTCCGAAAAGGGTGGTTATATCATGCTGTTGGTTATGACTTTGTATTGTATTTGGTGGCTCCTAAGAGAGCCGTTTTATATTCAAGTGACTGAGGTCACTTTTGACTGTTGACGTGGGGTTTGTCGTGGTAACCCATTGAGGTACACCAGTTTGCTATAATCAAGGTCGTAGTAAAACCATTGATGTATTTAATGTCAACGTTGTCGTTGACAAATTGTATTTGCCGTGCTCTTTTCTCGGCTGTAGCTTGCGATGAGGCCCAGGACTGAGCTAGAAGAATCCATCTACTGATGATTTCAGGATTGCACCCCTTGCCGTGGAAAAACAGCAGAAGTTTGAATGTCTCCTTATCACTCATAAACATATGAATCGACGGAGATTTTTAATTTTTAATGGATGCATATTCACCAATAGAACCACTGGAATGACATCATTTTCTATTGGTACCAATCGTTCCATTCGTACCAATGGACCATTGGAATTGCCCTTTACCCAGCCAGACCACATGAGAAAATAATCTAACTCTCTTAATGAGATGCATATTCACCAATAGAACCATTGGAATAGGGTGCTTTTCCATTGGTACCAATCGTACCATTGGTACCAATGGACCATTGGAATTGCCCTGTACCCAGCTAGACCACATGAGAAAATAATCTAAGTCCCCTTAATGAGATGCATATTCACCGATAGAACCATTGGAATAGGGTGCTTTTCCATTGGTACCAATCGTACCATTGGTACCAATGGACCATTGGAATTGCCCTGTACCCAGCCAGACCACATCTGAAAATAGTCTAAGTCTCCTTAATGAGATGCATATTCACCAATAGAACCACTGGAATAGGGTGCTTTTCCATTGGTACCAATCGTACCATTGGTACCAATGGACCATTGGAATTGCCCTGTACCTAGCTAGACCACATGAGAAAATAATCTAACTCTCTTAATGAGATGCATATTCACCAATAGAACCATTGGAATAGGATGCTTTTCTATTGGTACCAATCGTACCATTGGTACCAATGGAGACCCTTCTTCTCACCACTAACACCAATGGAGTCTATTTGTGAGTATTGGACTACCCTCGCCTAGCCACGAGGCTTCGTTATTTTGCGGGGCCGATGAGTTTTGGCTCACGCGGTGTGTGCGTGTTACGTCACCGAAACGCATTGACCTAGAAGGCCTGGGAAAACGCTTAACAGAAACTGAGCAAATATGTAACGTGTAAGGTGACAGAAGCGATGAAAGTTGAAAGATTTCCCTGTCAGCTTATTTTACGCCTGCGCTAAGCTTTTTTAGCGGATATTCCTCATCATGAGTCCAGTTCAGCCTCAGCGAGGTTACAATTAATCTTGACGATAAAACTAGGTAATAATTCACGACCGCCAAGACTTCAAACTGTAAAACTGAGCTATCGCGTTTTAAAAGCTCAGAATTTTCAGAGAGAACAAATCAATATCTTTGGAAATACATTTTCGTGGTCAGTTAATTTTTGCTGTGCCCGTTTTACAATTGAAATGAGGAACCGACATTACTTTCTTGTTTTACTTTGGGCACTTTCGTTATAACCAAAAACAAAGTTTCATAACCAAAAACAAAGGCAAACCATTATTTTTCGTTTGACAGTCATTTTATAAAGATCCTTTGAATCTGCAAAGGTGATACTGAAAGTTAGTAACAACCCCTTATATCTAGTTTTAATAAATTAAATTATTTTGTATCTAAAGGCACAATTTACTTACAGGTTTGTCAACTGGCTTTGGTTTGAAAGAAATTCTGTTGGTACGTGTTCAAGTCTGTTTCTTGATAGATCTCTGAAGAAAAGTCGAGAAACATATTGTTTACTTTATTCAATCCTCCAAGAGAACGGTTAATAATCGAGGATCTTGAAACAATAAATCCTTTTCGTAACATTTCGCCCCATGTAGAAATGAATGCGGAAAATTTTTGCCTGTGGAATGGGGAATCCTGGACTTTGGAATCCGGAATACAGCTCGAGGAATACAGAACCGCATTATCGATTGTAATCCAGATTCCAAGTTCCACTGGCAAAGACTGGAATTCAGTGCGTAGAATCTGGAATCCACGGCGTCTTGAATATTCCCGTACATGGGGCGAAACATTATCCCATCCATAGCAATCTGGATAGGGATTAATTTCTCCGGAAAAATCCCCTCAAAGTAATACCATTGTTTCTTAATTTTGTCCGACACTACATCTGTTATCCCTTTGCATAGAAAATTTCACACCTTTTTAAATTCAAGAGAAACCCTGCCACCTTCGAATTTTTTTGTGTGTGTCTCCTCCAACGTGTTTGAAAAGTTCTGACCTTGTATACAGAAGACCAACTGACAAAACGCAACAAACCAAAAAAAATAAACAGATAAAAAGGTAAAGGACGTGTAACTTAACCTTGCGAGTGACTTGAACATGAGCTTCACTAGCTTAGTGGGACTCTTGCTTGTAAGAAAGTACTCGTTAGTGTCGTTAATTCACGCAAAACCCGTCTAACTGACCAATCACACCATTAATTCTCTAGAGTGAGGCTTCAGATTTCTCGTGATAAAGGCAACCGACTGAAGGTTTGGAGATGCAAAGTTTTGGTAGTTTCAAAGGGGCATCGGTAAGGTAGGATAAAGCAAGAGTTTTGTTCAGTAAAAACTTACAGCGAATCAAAAAAGACCAAAGGGGCTGGTGGCCCTAAGGAACCATTTAGTTGACATGTAGCATCCCACAATCCTCTTGGAGAGAACTTGCCATGACAACGGGAGTCAACGTCATCTGTTTGATTTGGATGAACAGGCGGGGAATCGGTAGAATTCTCCAAGGCTTTGGTACAAGACACCAGGTCACGGAACAGTGACACAGTAGCGAGAATATGAAACACTTCCATCAAGTGCATGACGCCTGCCGAATAATGTAAAAACGTTTTACCAGGTAAAACAGATGGGAAACTTTTATACTCAAAAGTTAGCTAGAAATAAAAACAGACAAATAAATCTCCCGCAATGAGTAGCTATTGTCAAGAGCCATAATGCACGGACAGAGAGGGAATCTTGGGGCGTTTGATATGTGAATTTCACTCAAGTTATTTTTAGAGGTTGTAATTAAACGGAAGTCTAATTCCTGAGAAGTCAGCACATTTTAATCGATTGTTTGAAACGTCATCAATTCCACGCGCGACTTCCTAGTCTCAAACCCTACAATGCTGAATGTTGTTATGGCAACTGTTGAATGTTCAACATGACCTTTTCGAGTAAGATTTACAGGTCTTACAGGCGTCTAGATTTCGGCATCAATATTTTAGGTGAGCCTGATGAGCGCATTTCAGTTCAAGAAATTGAAGTTAGCGTTCCTACTCTTAAGGTATCAGCCACCCTTAAAATTGCCATTTTTCCATATTTGAGGTTTCAACGTTTTCAAATAGATATGCGTGAGAGCTTTCTTTTAAAAAAAAAATCAGAAGCAAATATTATTTCTGTCGAAAGATATCGGGGGTAAAAGATTTTTCTCGTTAATTATCTTAATTGATCGTTAACAAGACCTGTCATACCCGTGTCATATATCAATTAACTTGCCTGTGAACTAGTAACGTGATACCGAGTGCGTGCTTCGACACAACACGTGCGAATTGTCTTCGCGTTGTTTATAGCCTTTAGTATTCTCCGTGGATATTTAGCGTTTGTTTCGGTGAAAATGCCGCCAAAAAAAAGAAAAGGTCGTGCCCGTTTTCGTCATCGAAACCGAGAACGAAAAAGAAATCGAGGAGCGAGTTTGACAAAGAATGGGCCGCAAAATTGGCAGAGAGCGACAAAGGCTCATTTTATCAGCAAGAGAAGTGGCTCGAGGAGTTGGATATTCAGAAAAGCGAAAATGCTGCAGTTGTTGAGAGTGCAAGCCGCTCCAAAATCCAGCTTGAACAACCAGATGAAGAAAGCCAATTAAGCTCATCGACCCCATCTGCTGATGGAACGTGGAAAACAATAAGCGGTCGAGCTATCGTATTGAGCGAAAAGCTGCTTGAGAAACTGGACGAGTCTGTATCTTGTCGATTTTGCCAGGGAAGAGTCCAAGTCATGGAAAATGTAGCGACTAAGCATGGACTTGGTTCTACCTGGAGAATCCAGTGCGAGAATGAAAGCTGGCCGTCGCACAAGACAAATTCTGTTTTTAATTCTTCCGAGAAGAGCAGAGCGTTTGAAAAAACCGGGCCTCAGTTCTTGGCCTTCGAGCAATCGGTGGTGGGCATTCGGCGGCTTCAAAGTTTTTTAGTTTCCTTGGCCTGGCGCTCGAGAAAGAATTAAACCGTGCTTCTCGTGGTGTAAAAGAGTGGAAGTTTTCCAACGGAGAATTAAACTGTTCACTTGAAGATGTTGATAGCAATAAAAAGTTTGTTCCTGTTACATGTTACCTGTCAAAGTCCTATTGTTAGAGAAAATTGATCCCTCTCTGATATCAATCAGAATAAACATTTAGGTGTTATAATCTCATTCCAGGTAGGATGCCGCCAAAAATGTATTTTCTATTTTATCTCCGAACGCAAATTTTGCTGATCGACTCGTACGTTTTGAACTCCAAGTCGGCAGCCTTTCAATCAATTTGGCTAAAATTTGGCCAGAGTGATGCCATATATCTCTTCTACAAAACCGTGTCTGCGAATTTTAATACTCCTTTTCATTTTAAAGCTAGAGCTTTTTTTACACAGAGAGTGTTGACTAATTGCCTTCCCCAACTTCATTTGCTAATAAAAGAAAAACAAACGCACTTGTCAAAAATCTGAGACACGGTTTTTTAGTGGAACGTGTTGAGAAGCGAATGCGGTGTTAATTGTTTTCTTCCGTTTATTTCCGACGGGAGTGGAACATGATTTATAGAGACGTGTACTTTTACACAAAGCGTTCCAATTTCGAAACACATTTAAGTAAATCGTTTTTGTTAGTTCAAATCCATAATCTGGAATTATTAAGCTTTTAAAAAATATATGGTTTAAAGGGGTTTTTATAAAAACAACTAACTCTACAGCGATCTGCGCGCGGACTGTCCTGAAGGGTGGCTGATACCTTAAGCGTAGGATAGGCGATGATTTGTCCGAAGAGGACTCAAATTCTGTTCCCTCGTGAGAAAGCCGTGAGGAGAAGTCCGCTTATGAAAAGAAACAGACGAAAGTCAAAGAATAAACTAAAATGCTTAAAATGATGGTGCTTGTTCCATGCAGTAAGTTTTTTCCTTCTGGCGGGTAGATTGTGCTCTGGAGGGTTATAAGTTTTGATTTGAACGAAGGTGATTTTTGCCTCTTGTTTCACACTGAGAGGTCATGACACGCATATTTATTTTCTATGGGTTTTGTTTCTGGTCGGCAGGATTACCCCTCTGATGCAAACTTAATGCTCTTTGTCTCAACTAAATAAGGGTTTTAGGTTGTTTAATTTTCTCCAAAGTGCCTCCTGGATCTGAATAACTAAAAGCGATTTTCTTTTGTCCGCGAATGTGATGGTTTTCTGCAATGTTTTGACACGCTGGGCCCACAACCTCGAATGTCAAACGAACTTGGCGGGTTTTGTTTGCGTCCTCCGCAACTGAAGAAACAAGTTCTACTTTACAACGTTCTGAGCGTCGAGTATTTCTTCGATTGGTTTCCACATTTTTCATGACTTATTGTTAGTCTTGTTAGAGCTGTTCTGATACGAAGCTCTAACACATGGGACCAAGTTTACTTTCTACAGTTTCTAGTCCTTTTAGTAGCACCTCTGCTGCTTTCCTGTTTTGATTTCTGCTGTGATTTGCTTGCATTTTAGCGTTTTCTTTCGAACGGTGCGTCGACGTCGCTTTACTAGAATTGACGTTTGGCTGCTTTGATTGTTTTGTGCGACGATTATTCCCACTCCTCTGTTTGCCTTTTGCTGTTGTTTTTTCTGCCTGCCGAGGTTCCATTACGGAAATTGAAATTTCTGTGATAAGGATCGCTGTTCGCCGACTTCAGTTCCTCCTAAAAAATTGATATATCATCTAGCAAATCAGTCAACTCCAACGAAATCGTGGGATCTAGCTCCCAATCGGAACAATCTCTCGAGATAAAACCATTTCCTTTGTTTACAAAATCACTTTCGCCGATGAAACGCACCACCACGCGCGACGCCATTATTTCTTGACAGCGCTGATTAAAGGTTTGCGGACCTCTCGGGAAACCAATTTCCGATTAATTCAAGCCTTTAATTCAGACTGCCTTAATTGGTCTAAAAACAACTTTGGTGACTAGACTGGGCGTTTCCGTCTCTGTCTTATTATGGCTCTTACTATTGTTGCGTGGCTCAAATGAATGTCTGACATTGAAAAAGTTACACTTGTAATTAAACCAACTTGATATCAAATGCTTTCAACATGACAGGCATTTAAGATTTTAGATCTATTCTCCATGAAGTTAGACCATCAGAGGGGATAGACCTCCACCCCGCAATGTCCGCAGTATATATATATATAAAAAAACAAACAAATATGCTATTTTAAAAAGATAAAAAAACTCTGACATCGATGTGGCTGAGGTTGGATGTTCCGTTCTCAGTATTTATATATATTTTATCAACTGGAGTTTTCATTTTGGGGAGAACGGCATGGAGCGAGCGCAGCCTGAAGAGACCGAGAAGGCACTGGGCTATGAGCTCCTGGTACAGTAAAATTGTTTTTAAAAAATTAATTAAGCCCGGGAGCAAACTACTTTAAAAAGGTCAACAATGAAAGTTCCTTCCGTTCGAGAAGGAAATGCATAAAATTCACATGTGCACTCCTTACAATATAAATTTGGTATTTCATAATATTTGCATTTTAATTTCCCTTCCTCTCTTTTTTGAGTTTTTTTTTGATTAACCTGCAACTTTATCTTCAAGACCAGAAATCATATTTAGTATTTTCATTAAATCGGTTTATCCTCTATATAGGTGCTTGATATCACTCTCTTTGAATCCACCCTTGTCTTCGTGTAATCTACACTAAATCCAATTCTATAATACTTATCTTAGTAAACATTTGTTTGAATTTTTCTCTTAATGTTTTTGCTTCAGAACCTTTATACGAAGTATACTTACTTGGATTATTACTGAGCTAAGCTTGGTCTCCAACCGCGGATGTCTCGATCAGGCACGTCCACCCAATCCACGGCTGGAGGCAGAGGTTGGGTCATTGTTTGAACTAACTAATCAAAAACGAGCCGTCGAAATTTGCGCCGACGACAAATTACAAAATCAGCGGGAATTAGGATACAAATTGTTAATTTCCTCTCTAAATGAATTAGAAATTCTCTTCCTTTCATTAGAGAGCATCGTAACAGAATATATAAACTTTGCTGGTAGACTCTCTTTTTTTCATTTACAGGTGTTTATGCAGCTTTAATTTTTCCATTACAATATTTGCCCTTGGTACTGTTCTTCTCAGGAGCATTTGTTTGATACATGATCAGACGTTGCGCTGCACAGGAACATACGCGCTCTTGAGGAAAAAACGAGATAAAAGCCGTAGCATTTCTTGCTGTGAAACCGTCACGTATCATTCCATATAAAGGGCTACTAATCTCTCACCTGACCGGTTCCGTGACGGCTTTTCCGAGTACTGCACGAGCTTGTGGATTACGGCCATAAGGGGTGATGAATGGTCCATATTAAATTTTTTAACTGCTCGCAAAATTTTACCTTTGCTCGATTTACTCGCAAAATTTAAACGAGTGCTCGTTTGCTCGTGCTCCCCAAATTTTTGCAGTTGCTCTGATGCTCGCCTTCTTGTCAGTATTGCTCGAAATTTTGTAAATCCTTCTTTGGGTTAAAGGAAGTGTAATTCTGTATGGTGCTTAATTCCTAAAAATATATGAGCTATCAAGTTCAGTGGAAATGCACGCGATAAATGACA